TAGTTCTGGCTCTGTATTCTTTTTGTCACGGTAGAGAAAGCCAACTGATTTTTGTATGTTGATCTTGTATCCTGCTACTTTGCTAAATTGGTCAACTACCTCCAGTAGTTTTCTTGCTGAGTCTTTAGGGTTTTCTAAGTATACTATCATGTCATCAGCATAGAGGGATAATTTTCAGGTAGTTAGTTTCTTTCTTGTCTATAAGTAGCACCTGTTGGCACCCGTTCAAGTTTCTCTTCCATAAACAAAATTTGGAATCTTGATGTTCTCCAGTATAATAATTAATAAACAGACTTATCATGTACTTCCCCTCACACATACCTTAAGTATCTTCCTATTTATTAATGCCCTTGACATTCTTCTGTTACCTCATAAGCTGATCTCAAGCACTATCCCCAAATCAGATTAACATCTTTCTGCAAATAGCAAATTCACATCATATATTTTACATTCAATGAGAAAATTTTCTGATTCTCTTCTTTGTGTAAATTGTTATTTCTTTTATTATGGCTTTTAATTTATATTTATTTCTCTTTGATCATGTTGCCATATATATATATATATCCAACTGCCACTTATGAGGTGTAACATTGTATAAGTTGCTTAACCTCTATATACTTCAATTTTATTTTAATCTGTGAAATAGGAATAAAATTATTGCCTCTCATACCTCAGAGATTTATTTTGAGAAAGAAATGAATTTATATGAATTGAAAGCTTAGGATAGTGTCTGGTCACACGTAAACTTTTAGTAAAGTAAATGTTAACAGTTATTTTCTAATGATTAAATGATGTGATTATACTATGTTAATTCCTTTGTTTTCTCTATTTTAAAAATTCTTATGCTTTGTTAGTGTAACTATAGAAAGACTCAAAAACCTCTTATTAGATTCCATGTGTCTTACTGTCTTATGATTTATCTTGTAAAAAATAAAATTTTTTTCCCTCTCAATCCAATTTTAGGGATGATAGAAATTTAAGAAACAAAGGCATAATAAGTGGTGTGAAGTCACTCAGTAAAGAAGAATTGAGTGCAGAGTTACTAAACTCATCTCTGAACACAGCTGTGTGCCAACAGCCTTCTGTTTCTAAACAACAACTGAAAGCAGGTAGCATTATTATTATTAATAATAACTAGAGCATCTTCTTATTTTATACACTGTGACTATAAGTAACAATTGGAATTTATAAATTTAATCTTATATATTTAAAATAATGTGGAGTTTATAATTAAAAATTCTTTTCCTAGTCATTGAATTTGATTTTGCCATGACGGTGGGTGGATTGGCCAAACTCATCAAGTGAATTGACTGAACTCACAAATCCACAAGGAGATCGTCTAGCCTTGCCATTAAATTGAGTGGATCCAACAGCAGAGATCACTCACCATCAACAAGCATGCAGTGGACATGCTTCAGGACTAGACCTTTTTATAACAGCTAGACTTAACAGCAACAGTGGCAGCTAGACTTACAGCAGCAACATTCATGGATGAAGAAAGAGAACCAGATTGCCATCATGAGATGGGGCTGACTTTGGAACTGCTAACCCTCACAGACAGAACCAGAGCTAAGATAAGAGCTTTTGCCCAACCAAGTTTGTTGAACAAGTAGGGGTGGAGGGTATGATTTGCAGTTCTGAGATATTTGTAACACTGGCCTAAAGCCTTGACACTCAAGGCTGAGGTACCTGGAAGTACATCTCGGAAGTTGTTCTGATTATATTCTGTTACTAACCTGGATTATAACTTTTTAACTTCCCCAATCTGATTCTTTGTGGTCTGTGAGCTTACACATCAGATTTTGGACCCAATAAAGCAATAAGATTGTTGTTGACACGAGTAGAAAGAGGTGTTGGGAACATGGGGGACATATCTGACCTCGTGGGAATTGGTATTGTGCTTTTGATGGGGACAGTTTCCCTTAGTGAAGTTTGTAATGGTCAGATGTGGCCACCCACTTGTGTTCTTTGCTCTTTTTTCATTAGTGTCAGAAGTGCGATTCCTTGTGATGGCTCCAGACACATGGAAATGTGGGATTTTTTAAAGTCTTAAGTTATTAGAATATTGGAAAGTGCAGTTAAAATGGCTACTTTTGTTGCAACTAAATTGGTAAGATAAGTTAAGCAGCTTTTGGCCTGAGACAAGGGCACAGACTTTAGGCCATATACACATGAATAAAATACATTAAGGGTTTGAAAATAAAGCTGTTAATTCCTTGGCAATTATATATGTTAAGATTTTTCTTGATATAGCTATGAATATTGCTGGTTTTGGATTTGCTTCCCCCCCCCTAAGAAATTTTATATAAATAATTAAAGCTTTTGTTGACTTAATGCTAAGATGTATGATATAATTGATTACTAGACATTATAAATCTTGAAAGTGTGTAAGTCAGCCCTGAAGCCAGTGCTGAGTGGATCAAGTAAAAAGAAGATTTGCCCTGGATAAATGCTTGTTGAAAGCAGTAGAACTAGAGGGCATAGGGCTTGGGGTGTGGGGGCGCAGGATTAAGCCCCTACTCACTACTCTGAGGATATTTGCATTTGATTGTACACCTTCCTTGGACTTTTGGTTGAAGAGATATATATTTGGAAGAAATAAATAGAGAATAAAAAACACTCTGACCTTTTAAGACTTTTGAAATATGCATTTTGGCTTTTAAGGCAGGGTATGGGTTGGTACTCACCAGAGCCTCTTTCCAGGACTTTAAATTAAAGGGAGCTGATGAGTATGCTCACTCATGGTGACCACTTGGATCCACTGGAGTAGAATTAAGAGGCATGCAGTAAAGATGAGACAAGCTGAGCTTGGACACATTCCATCAGCATTGTTGACATTGGCTTTGAGAAGCAGGCAGTCATGAGGATCCTCATCTTGTAGACTTGGCCCCATGTGGGGAGTAAGGCTACGTGAAGGAACAGGTCAGTCTGGAAATGCAGGAAGAAGTGTGGGCTCCTGAGTTTGCAGGTGATGCCCATTTGGACCTAGCCATGAATGGCTGGAGTGGAGTTGATCAGAATCCAAGATGTTTCATGCTGTGAGCTAGTGTTGATTGTTTGATTGTCTGATGGTTTGCTCTTGACTGGACTTTACTTATTGATGCAAATGCTAAACTTCTAACTGGAACAGAAAGATTGTTTTGAGAAAGGAACATATACTTCTTTTCTGAGTACTGGTTTACTAGGAATGAGTAGATCAGAAATTGGCTGTCTAAAATGAGGGAGATTAAAGCCTGAAGCATGAAGTTGCTGGCTTAAATACTTTCACAAATATGACTATTGTATGTTGTAAGGGGAAAGTTAATTTTCCATATATGAAAGTTATGGCTACAAAAGCCAGAGGTTGATCTGTAGAGTTTATAATTAAAAATCACTCTCCAAGCCCTTGAATTTGATGTTGCCAGGTGGATGGGAAGGAATATGTGAATAGGACATGTTAGCCTAACCAAACCACAGGGGACTGGCTACCCTGGCCATTAAATTGAGTGGATCCAGCTGCAGGAAGAGTCTTTCTACCACCAACAAGAGAGAAGTCGAAATAACAGTGGACACCCATCATGACCAGGCATTCTTTGAGGGCTAGACTTAACAGAGGCAGCATCAGCTAGACTTGTAACAGCAACAGTTGTTGGACGAAGCAGAGAACCAGAGAACCAACATAAGATGGGGTTGACCTTATTACTGCTACCCCCCATGTACAGAACCAAAGATAAGCCAGAAGCCTTTGCCCAAGTTTTTTTTACAGCAGGAGGCAAGGAGAGACAATATTGGCAAGACTGAGAATTATAAAACACTCGCCTAAAGCCTTGAGGCTAAAGGCCGAGGTGTTTACAGGCACATCTTGGAATCAGTCCTGACTGTATTCTGTTACTAACCTGGATTCTAACTTTTGTTTTTTTTTTTCCTACCAATTTATTTACAAAATTCAAATACAAATTTGAAAAAATTCCTTTGATTTCCCTCCCCCCATCAAATTGTACAACCCAATGTTTAATCCCCCCTTCCCCCTGCACATCCACATCTCTCTGGTTCCAGCCTCTCCCAGCTTTCTGGATCCTTATACTCATTAAATTTTGGGTTATAAACTTTTAACTTCCCCAGTATAGTTCTGTGTGGTCTATGAGATCTCACATCAGATTTTGGACCCAGTAAAGCAGTAAGATTGTTGTTGAGATGAGTAGAAAGAGGTGCAGGAGTATGAGTGACATATCTGACCTCATGGGAATGGATTTTGTGTTGTTGATGGGGAGAGTTTCCCTTTGTTAAGTTGATAAAGGTTGTCCAATGATATGGCTATCCTCACGTGATAGCCGTTGCACCTGTTACAAATGACATTAAATTTGAAAGATTTCCTGGGAAGTAACAGGAACATTAAGTGGCAATTAAAAACATAATTAGTATTGTTGACTTCTATATATGCTTTTAAAAAGGAGATTAAATTTTTGTCCATATTCTTAAAATTTTCCACATTTATAATTACTATTTGCATGCTATCTGTAAAAGAGAACATAATATTATATTATCAATAACTATAAGAAATACTTTTCCAGATGGAGATAATTGTTTCTGTGTCATATTTATAGCCATATACTAACACAGTAAAAACTCAGATAGCAGTAAAATAATATTTTTTAAAGTAATAATTATATATAACGTAATTTAAAAATAAAAAAAGAGTCATTCCACCTTTTTTTCTTCTGTGGGGGAAATAATTATTAGTCTCTAATGTATATACTTTGTAATTTTCTAAATATTTAAATATACACAGTTACACTTAATTTGCTTTCCTTGGTAATGAGATATCATCATATTAAAAATGACGTTTAGAAGGGATAACAAGATAATTCTAATTTATAGTTTTCTGAGAGTAGCATACTTTTAGTTTTCCCATCATAGTATTGTCATTTAAACCGTTACTTTGTATTTATAGTGATAAGCCATATAATATTTTGTTGTACCATAAAGAAATTACAGTTTTTCAGGTCTCAAAATAGAATAAAATTAAATCAATTTAAATTATAAAAGCTGTTTCTTTAGAGGGTATAATATCAAGATGGTTAATCCAGAAATTTAGGTCTTTTAAAACAATCTATAGGTATGTGCTGAGGGTAAAATATTATATTATTTTCAGAAGAAGATCCTTTTTGGTCAGTAAATCTCTATCCATAGTTTGTTGAAAATGGATCATAGTTATAACTTTCTTTTAAGATTTCTTATTTTTGAAAGTAAAAATAAATTAATATATCACACATATTTCTTAAATTTTTATTTTAATGAAATGAAAGTATTATTTAGTTGCCTTTTTGTAGAAAAGCATTTGTTAAATTTATGTTGTATCCAAAACTTCTATTGTATATTTACATGTTTTTTTCAATACTGCTTTTAAAATAAAGGACTTCTTGTTTTGTAAGTAATTGA